GTGATGGCTGTGGCTGCCCTTCGTCGCTCTGCTGTGTTTGTGCTGGCCATTGCTCCCCTGAGCACACCAGTCTCAGTGGTGCTCACACACACTGACCAGCATGAGGGATAGGAAGGAACGCTGGGCACAGGATGCACAGCAGCTCCTGCATGAACATTACAAGTTCTGGGGTTTATAGCCCAGAAAATCTGGCTCTGAAGGGCTCTATCTGGCGGGGTGGGAGGCGTGCCGCCCTGCCCAGAGCCACTTTTATGCCATTGTGCCTTTTCAGCACTGCATTAAGGCAGCCAAAGAAGGGTGATTTTTAATGGTTCCAGGGAAACAAAGCGGAAACATTCGACCCAACTTCATTACAGAATCATCTGAAACACTTGAGGAACGTTTCCCACTAATTATCATAAATAGCCGAAAAAAATCTTTCCCTCCCAAAGCAGGTTCCAGCTGCCCCTCTGTGTTTTCTCACCTCCACTTCCAATAGCCTGACCCTGCCCCACACAAAGGGGAGACCCCATCTCCACTCCCCCCACACTCAGGGGCTCTAAAGAAATACAAACAGGCAGCAGATTACCAGCACTTGTTTGCACCTTAAACAAACAGGAACTTCCGCCCCTCCGGGCTCTCTCACTGCCCAAGGGAGGATGCACCAGCTTGTTTTTCTTGCCCTTGCTCTCATGCCCTGCCCAAACTCTGGATAAAAGCCTGGACAGCCCAAGGCATGAAGCAGAGAGGATGAGAATGCCAGGGTGTCAGCCCCCATCTGCTTGAGCCTCGTGTCCTGCTGCCCCACTGCCCCTGGGGAAGCCAGGCTCCTGCTGCAGTAGGGCTGTGAGATGCCAAGGGCAAAGCAAATGCAGGAATGTCCCAGTTCAGCTCTTGTCCCGTGTGTCTCACAGGGCTCCTTGCAAGAGGCAGCCTGACCTGGCTGGATGGGTGCTGTGAGTGGGTGTGGAGAGGGTTGCTGAATGTGAAGGGTGGAGAGGGAGAGACAAACTGTCCAGCAGACACACAGAGGAGTGGTGCTGGTGTTCAAAACCATCACCAGCATCGAGGAGGCACAGCAGCACACTAAGCAATGACTGGCAGCCCACAGGCCATCTCTGCTGACTGCAGTAGGGAATGGATGAGTGCTGCACATGCCTGTGCAACCGGGCATGAGGCAGATCCCAGCAGCTGCCTCCTCTGCCAGGGAGCTGCCCCAAATTGTGTCCTCAACCTGCAGGTCTTATGGTGCCCATCCCACCTCTCCAGTGGCATTGCCAGCATCTCCCTGCTCCTTCAGGAACAAGTGTTAAACCAGCTCCTTCCTCCTCTGCCCACAGCACACAGACAAGTCAGCCCCCAGCTCCCCATGCCTCTCGAACCACACCAGCAGCTCTTGAGACACTGCTCCCAGCACAGCTTGGCACATGTCTGGCACCAGCACATGAGGCAGGCGTGCAGGGAGGAAGCTGTGGCAGCATGGCCACGAGCTGGGACAGGTTCCCATCACAAGCCAGCAGTGAGACTTGCCCAGCAGAGGCCCAGGCTTGCTCCTTGTGCAGGTTATTGTGCAAATCCCCTCATGCAGGTGTTCATTGCCTCCCTTCCCAGGAGCCACAATAAAGAGTTTTGCTTGCGAGCCCCCTTCCTTCCCATGGGGTGCCCCAGGGACAGGAAAGGGAACTGAGGCAGGTGGCAGGGACAGGCCACCACACCCGCAGCATGGGTGGCTGCCAGCAGGGCTGACATGCAGAGGGCTACAGTCCTGCAGCATGACTGACAGGGCAGTGGGACCCACTTCTCACCTGCAGGTGAAGGTGGAAGAAGGGCAGGAAGAGAGCCAGCAGCAGCTGCAAGAGTCCCAGGCCATGCTGGAGACCCCTGGTCCCAGCGCCACCCAAGGACACACATGTATGGTGTGTCCTGTCTCTGCTTCTAACAGCTGGTCACCTGAAGCTGTGAGGGACTCAGGCAGTCACAGCAACTGGGAAGAGGTGTAGAGTGTCACGAGCAGCCTGGAGATGCCACACGGGGATGCTCAACTATTTTTTTTTCCAAAGCAAGAACCAGGGGCATCCTGTGCAAGGAGCAGCAAGCAGAGGAAGAGCAAAGCAAGGTGATGCCTTGTTCAGTTCATAGGCAATCTTGGGCAGTCCTCAGCACATGGTGCTGTGAATGATAAAATCTTACTTGACTTCAGGGAAACCAGAGAAATTCTGAGATTAGAAACTATCAACCACTGCCCAGTGCAGTGGCATGCTGCAAAGAGATGCCTGGGCTGCCCACAGCAGAGTGGAGAGGGTGTGCTAGGGACCCTGCATTCCACAGAGTGGAGAGGGTGTGCTGGGGACCCTGCACTCCACAGCACTGCCCCAGCCACACACCTTCATTGCAGTGAGCTGTAGCCCTGAAGCAGCAAACACTGATCTCCCTGGTGCAGATCCCCCTGCTCTGCCCCTCCCCATGTGCTCCCTGGCTGGTCTTGCTCAGCAAGCAGGAAACCCCAGGGTGCTGCCCCACAGGCTGCTCAGGCACATCACCCCCAGGACACCCTGCATCCATCCCTCTAAGCTCCTTCCCTCCTGGAGTACACTGTTGGCCCCAACAGGGGCAAATGGGAACAGCTGCTAATTCCTCCCAGCCCAGCTGTAACCCTCTGAGGATTGACCCTAAAGTGGTGGAGGGAGCGGAGTCGTGCCTGAGAGCCAGCTGCACCAGCCTGGCCCCGGGAACACGCTCGCTGTATTTTCATTGCAAATTACAAATCAATCATAGCAGCAAATTCCTGTGCTGAGAACACCCTTGGCTGTTATTATTTTACAGCACTCTGAAGCACTTAGAGGTGTTCTGGGCACTTAGAAAGATACAGCCCTTTCAGGGTATTATGGGCCAAATTAGTTTTAAAAGCAGCTGTAGGAACGCTGGCCATTTGGCTTCCAGAGCCGGATGGGCACAGGTGGAGGCTGCAGGGCTTTGTGCTGCTTTTGGATACAGCACCACCCTGCAAAGAGGGAACCGGCACACTCCGGAGCAAACACCTCGTGCCTGACCCCAGCTTTATTAATAACCAGTAATTAATATGAGAGCGGACGTGCCTTGTGTCTCTGAAGACCTTTTAAGATGTGATTATGTTGTGCTAATCTCACCCCGAAGTACTTCCCTGTTTAGACTGCGCTGGGCCATTAAATATCTGAAAAGCCAGCAGAGACCCCCCCCTCATCACCTCGGGAAGTGCTTGGGGTCTGTTCCCCAGCAGCCAGCCCCCGCTTTCAAACCCTCTAAATCAAGTATTAAGCTGAGTCCATCTGGATTGCCAGAAAAAACACTCCCTCCCCCTCATCTGTATCTCATTACCTGCTGTGCCAGCCCCGGCCCCGGAGCCGCTCGCTCCATCCCGCCCAGATGTGCTGCCCCCTCGCCTCCCGTATTTCACAGCCGTCAGCAGGACTTCAAGGAGTAGCTGAAGGGCCTGTAACACTGCACAGGTTCTTAGCAAGGATGTATATCCAGGTCCCTAATGCATAGCTGCAGGCACAAACTCCAGCACAAAGCCCCTTCCCCCTTGCTAGTCTTGCATCAGGCAGGGGAACTGGGGTGCTCAGGGCTCACTGGCCAGGAGGTTTCTGAGTTGCTTTCCCACTTTTCCTTGTGAAACACACATCCAGACTTTTGCTTTTCAGGGTCTCCTTCCCTGGGACACCTCCAAGCCAGTCAGCCCCTGTGCCACACAATTGGGGAAGGACACCCAAAGGCAGGACAAGATGGAGCAGGCGCCAGCTGCAATGGCAAGGAGTTGAAGACAGACACCTGCACCCCTGTAGAAACTGTGATCAAATTAGGGAGCAGCTTACCTTGCACAGGGCAAAATCAATACTAAACCTAGAGAAAAAAAAGGTCTATAGAGACCCAAATCAAGGGAACCACCCCCATATTAATCAGCTCAAATTCTCCTGAAAGAAATCTTCCCAGAAAAGGTTTCAACACTTTCTGTGATGGCAGAAACCACAGAGGAGCAGCCACTTTTGTTTAAGCTTGGCACTTCCCTAGGCCTGGCAGGAGCCCATGACTCCAGGGGTGAAGGTTCTCATCAACCCCTCCTGCCAAGTTTCCCAAGAGACCTGCTCCCATCCTGCAGCCAGAGCTCAGCACCAGGTGAGGTTATGGTAAAGAAGCCATAGCCAGCCATGCTGAAACATCAGGCTTCCAGAGAGACTGGACAGGCAGCACCACAAAGGGGTTTTGGAGGACATGAGATTTAAGAGTGGGAAGGAACGCTTGTCTATTGTCTCACAGTGCCACTGCCTGTGGATGGCCAGCCCTGGTCCTACCCCAGCACTGACTGGGGGCCCCACGCTCCAGCAAGCAACAGGAATCCCCCACAGCAGGTCAGGACAAGAAAAGCCCAGGATGAAAACAGTCTTCTCACCAGCCCATCAGACACGCAGAGGAAGCTTTAATATCAGGGAGGAGGAAGGGGAGAAGGGGAAGAGGTCTGAGTGTGACGGTGGTACAGTGACTGACACATCCTGTAACGTGGCACAGGGAAGAAGACAGGCTGCAGGGCAGGAAGCCTTGTGCTATCTCTCTCCAAGGAGCACCTTGCAGGGA